TTTCAGCATGTCAAACTTAAATTCATGTTGCATTTGATTTGAATTATGGCTGCCCTAAAACTTAAACTCTCTTTTTTAGTAAATCAGGATATTCGATATTTGAATAAAAAATCCAATCGATTCTAAAAGTTAAAAATAAAACAACAACAAGTATTTGAGTATTAATAAAGGGTTGTATTATCTATTTTGCAACTTGATAGATTCAGTAATTTTGATAACATTATCCGAATGACCAAATGCATGGATATTAACCGGACATTCGGATATCGGTATAAAAAAATAAACGAATATCAACTGTATTTCCGGATATTATCCGTATACACGAATATCCGAACTTACATATACCAGGATACCCGAATATACGGATAGATCCTGCCCTATTAAACGCTTACGCTTAGATGTCAACCCGGCATATTTATTTAACACTAGAATCTCCAGTGGGCAAAATTCGACCACTTAATCATTCTCATAGTGGTTGTTTACGCTTGCCTGGTTATCAGCTTATCTGGTTAAACATAATTTTTCTGTAGTGTATTTTATTGTTAGACAACAACAACCTGATAACTACATATTAATAGCGTTAAAAATAATAATTCTTCAACTAAACTAAAGTAATAATAAGTGGATTCACAAAATCGATAGCCGCAAAGTTGGTCCACTGGATCCCGTGTGGCCATTACGTGTTAATATAAAAGTATTGAAAATCGATGGGATTAGGTATTAAAAGGGTTCCAGTGAATTTTAGAGAATGTTTGATTTAAGTATTTTTATTATAGTTAGGTAGGAAATGATAAATACATAAATAGTTTTCTTTTGACCATACTACGCAGATGTCTGATGATTGACTCATCCCTATGTACATACATATGTATCTACATATGTATATATGTATGCAAATGCTTTCTTCTTCATAAATATTTAGGTATGTATTTGTGTATATGCAGTGCATATTATGCATATACATTAGACTGGGTCGGTCCCCATACAAAAAAAAAAAGTT